GGTGCTTCCCTAATAAACCCCATAATCTGTGAGCTCTGTGTGGCCACTGCAGTGAATTATCGAACCCAGGAGAGAGGTGGTGGGTGCTTTGGGAGGAACAGTTGGAGAAAGGGCTGGAGGGAGGCAGCACGTCTGGCCTGGCAGGAATAGGCCTTGGGTTACTCCTGGTAATCCTGTCTTCCTCTTGTGGGGTTAGAGGAGGTCGGAACATGTGGCCTCCTTGCTGTTTTTGCAGACCTAGAGGGTGGTGAGAGTGGTATGGTTGCTTCGGCTTCCGATTCTTCCAAAGGCATTATCTTTTTTACTGCTGTTCTGGCAGCTACTAAGTCCACCCACGTCTGCTCTCAGATTAGTCTCAAGGGGCTCTCAAGTGACTTCTGGACAGTTGTCAGCCTTTTTTCTCTCTTCCCATGACTTACACCTCTCAAGTTTTTGCCTACTTTGGCTGCTCTGAGCCGCAAGTTGTGTGTAGGTGCTGCTGGAGGATGGGGCCACATGTAAGATCCTTGCTTTCATTTCTGCAGCAAAGAATTCACTGGCACAACCATGGTTGGAGTTAACCTGTGTTTTATTGACTTTGGCCTTAGGCCTCACCATGGTGCTGCTCCACAAGTAAGAGTGGAGCGGGGATGGGGAGAGACAGGGGAAAGCGAAGGGAACTGGCAGGTGGCTTCCCCTGTTCTCCTCTCCTCTCCTGTCACTCACTCTCGCTCTTCCATGCTTGTTCTTGCTGCCCTCATGACCTGAGCTAGAGGGTGGAGCTGGGGCAATACGCCAGCCCCAGCTGAGGCTCCAGGTTATGGATGGTAGTCGGAGGCAGTTGGTGGTGGCTGGCAGGGGTGTGGCTTGGCTCCCTCACTCACACTCTGCACTCTAGTTGGTTGCTGGCTCTCCCCAGGCTGCTTCCTCTTCTACCACCATTTTTGCAAATCTGTAGGCAAGCTGAGCATCTGTAACTGTTCACCCTACTGACAAAGGTGGTTATTTTGAACAGTAGTTGTTGCCACTATCACATTCCTTTCCAACAACTACAGCTTCTCCTGCAGTACTCTTACATATGCTTTTGCAGCTAAGACACTCTGGTGGTGTAGTGGGTAAGGCATTTGGCTGCCAATCAGAGGTCAATGGTTCAAATCCACTAGCCTCTCCACAGAAGGAAGATGGGGCAATCTACTTCTATAAAGATTAAAGCCCCAGAAACCCAATGGGGGTTGTTATGAGTCAGAATTGGCTAAATGGCACACTTGGGTTTAGTCTGGGCACCCGTGGCCTGCCAAACTGCCCACAGAAGCAACTTTTCTGGCTGTTACCCCGAGTCTCTTAGCCCTGTTTCTACACTTTTGAAGGTACATGATATCCCAAAACCATGCTATGCTGAATCCTTGTTCTCACTCTGCCGTGAGTCCACACACATCATCCAGACCTCTCCATGGAGGCCACTAGCCCGAGCATTTCCTCTGGGAAGCTGTCCTTGGTCTTCTGGCTGGCTCACCAACTGTCCGGGCTTGGACCACTGACTCTAAATTTGCCTCCAAATAGGTGGGGGCCAAGAGACCAAAGAACATGGCTGGTAGCTCCAGGTTTATGATGTCCTTTACTAAGGGGCTTACTTATGAGGTAACACCTGGGCTGTGGCAGGGCAGACTCAAGTCTCCACCCCACCCCACCCCCAGGACTCTGGTGAACAAAGGGCTTTTATGACTTCAGTGAAAAAGGGTAACTTGATACCGGGATTCCAGACTTCCAAGACAAAGTAGAACTGCCCCATAAGGTCCCAAGGCTGCAAGAAGACTGCCACATCTTTCTCCTTTATGACTGGTAGGTTCAAACTTCTGATCTTTCAGTTAGCAGACAAGCAATTAGTCACTGTGCCACCAAGCTTCCTAGGCCAAGGAATAGGTCCCAAGTAACCAAGAGATTCTTAAAGTCAATGTGTAGTTCCCAGCCAAAGACTAAATGCAGAATTATCTCACTGGCATTTAAGCTCAGTGGACAAGGGCTACCAACTGAGTGCCTCACACAGAACAGGTGTTCAATATTTATTGAGTCAGTTCCTTAGGGAAAAACAATGTTTTCACTAGATGTTAACAAATATTATTACTAGGTTTCTTAATTGTGGCAGAAACATGGTTTAAAAAAACTAAAACAACAAAACCCTTAATCTGTGTCTGAAAGTAAAGTGTATGTTCCCTGCACACTGCAAATTTTGTGATGACAACAGCTGCCCCAAATTATGCCAATATTTTATTACTTTAAGAACTACACAGAACTTATACACTCACATTTATCTAGACAGTAATATAGGTTGACCAAGCAAAAACTGGACCATTATTCAATGGAAAGATGTTACAGAAAACTGATTATTATTTCACAGATGAGGTCAAAAAAGCATTAAAAAACCCAAAGTATCTGAAATTGCTTTAATAAATGATATTATCCTTTTTAATTGGTTGTGGACCAAATTTTTAATATCAACATCATTAGAGCATAAACCATGTTGTGGTTAATTTGCCTGCTTTTGAAACTTTATCCTAAGTTTTATACTGATACAATATTAATAACCAAAGAAACAAACCCACTGCTCTTAAGTCAGATCTGACTCATAGCAACCCCTCCTTAGGTTTCCGAGGCAGTATATCACTACAGAAGTAGATTGCCCAACCTTCCTTCCGTGGAGTGGCTGGTGGATTTGAACCACCAGCCTTCTGATTAGCAGTCAAGTGCCTTAGGCACTATGCTACCAGAGGTAATAAAATACCAAAAATTATTTATAAGAGTATATTGCCCAACCTTCCTTCCGTGGAGTGGCTGGGGGGTTTGAACCACCAGCCTTCTGATTAGCAGTCAAGTGCCTTAGGCACTATGCTACCAGAGGTAATAAAATACCAAAAATTATTTATAAGAGTATATATTCAAAAATGCTAGATATGTCCATATTATAAAATACATTAGGTATTATCAATTAAAAAAAGAAAAACAGGAAAAACACTGCTTTTAAACTTTTTCAATCATGTCTTTATTTAATTTCAGTACACACTGTAAATATGTAAGTTCCCAAACACACATAATGTTGACTTTCTGATAACAGACCATCCAGGTCTGCCAACATTCAAATCATACATCTCTGATAACAATGATATCATTGGATGTGAAGGAAGGAAAGAAAGAAAGGAGGAAGTTCTCTCTTATATAGTTAGAGTTAGTAAGGAAAGGCCACACATCAATGTGAGCTGAGTTATAATCAGAATTTAGTCATGGAATGGTATGACTACCACAGGCATTACTCTCACACTGAAGTTATCCCATTTCTTCTCCAGAGTCCTTCCTTTATTTCTAGTTCTTACATAAGTCCTCATGCTACATATCAACTCATTTTCCTTTTTCCCTCTCTTCTGTCTCAGGTTGACAAATAAGATATGTGCATCAGTACAGAAAACTGTTGAGAAGAAAATTCAAAACATGATTGTAGACAGAAGTCTACCAAATTTAAAATGTAGTGTTCTAAAAATATATGATTTAATCATTCGTCGCCCAAAAGCATTCTTTGTTTCTTTTCCAAGATGATGACGACTCTTCATACATTTCCTAAAAAAGAGAAGTATGACAAGTAATCAAAACAGCACTTTAATAAATACAAATTCACTGGAATACATCAGGTAAATAAATATCACATCTATTTAAATCTGCACATCTTTTAACAATCCAATAAACATTTGCATAACGCACTGAAAGCAAAAAAATGAATAAACTTGTTTCCTACACTTAACCAAACCAAAACACGAACTCACAGCTGTCGAGTCAGTTCTGACTCATAGCGACCCCTCCTTGGGTTTCCGAGGCAGTTATCATCACAGAAGTGGACTGCTCAATCTTTCTTCTGAGGAGTGGCTGGTGGGTTTGAACTGCCAGCCTTCTGGTTAGCAGTCAACTGTCTTAGGCACTACAAGGACTGTCAATTCTCTGGGAGAGACAAACAAGCAGCTATAACATGACAAGGTGTACCAGAGAAGGGCATAATGATTCATTACATCTAGGGCCATGATAGGAGGCAGAAGAGATCTTCAAGAGACACATATTGTATTAGTCCACTATTGTAAAAAGTCAAGGAAAGATTTATCCATAGAAGGAAACTTTCTTTCTTGGTTACCAAGGATGGAAGGGAAGGGAAGGAAAATTTCTAGATAGGTTCAAAACAAAAAAAATATACACACACACACACACATAAACACAGATATATATATATATATATATATATATATATATATATATATATATATATATAAAAGATTACTGGAGGTTGCCAAGGATAGGAGGGAAGGGGGAGGCTTTTGTTTGGGGGAGGGGCACTGAGTTTATGCTAATGGTGGCAGAATATTTTGGAAAAGGATAGCAGTAATGGTGGCACAACACGAGAAATGTCATCAATATCCCTGACCCATAAATGTGGAAGTTGCTATGTTGGCGAAGGTCCTCTTGTATATGTTTTCACCACAATGAAAGTGAAACAAACAAACAAAAAAGGAGATGTTTAGTTTTAAATATTTTTACTTTCCAAACACACCCATTACTTCAACAATTTTAGTATAGTTTTCCAACACAAGGGTTATTTCCATTAGCTATTCAAATAAAGGACCACCTGCAGAAGCACTTGCACGGGATTGAGCCGCACTCTGCTGAGGTCTGCTTTACAAAGTATAGTGTGTGCCCCACCTACGGGTTCACCCCCCTCCCTTTATCACAGATGACCTCAAAGCACAGGCTGGGACTCAAGCCAGACTTGAATTTAGATAACTTATGGAAAAGGGAGGAAGAAGCACATATTACTTGCTCTTCTCACTCTCTAGTCAGAGTCTATCTTCCTAGGGACAGGAATCCAAATTCAATTGTCCTCTGAATACCTGTACATCCCTCAATTTCCTACAGACAGAGAAAAGCAAATATAAAGTCCAGCTAGTCCTCAAAGCACAGAAACCAGAGTATATCCAACTCCTCAGTCTCCCTCATTTTCCGAGGCTACCCCTTTATGTTTCTGTCAACTATCTATTGTCTCGCAGCTCATTTTGGAAATACTTTTCCTACCTCTTCCTGTTCTGGGGCCTGCTTAATGGTCTATCAAAATGTTGACAGTCTTGTTCTCAACAAAGCAGCCATGTACCTGAGCTTTACTAACTAAGACAGTTCCCTTTCATGTACTCTACCCTCTAAGCTTGAAGCAGACCTGGATCACCACGGGTTTCAATTTTTATTCAGAAAGGATGGTGGCTAAATTTCACAGGCCCTGGTTTGGAGCCTAGTTTGCCCAACCCTACCACTGACTGCGACAGTAGGCTCCTAGGAAGGAGGGGAAACTCCTTCTGAAACACCACTGAAAAGCCTGAGTCCTCTGCTCTGGCTTTCTGATCTACTGAAGAGTTAATTAAGCCCTCAGCTCTGCTATCTGCCACAATGATGTAGGCAATTCTAGACTCTTAATTTTAATTATACATGTTTGCAAATATAGAGCTATCCCACTGTTCATGTTGTTACACCAGGGAAGAAAGTAGGAAGTTGGGCCTTTTCATCCCTTTAGAATTCTCTACTTAAACTGAGAATTTTTTACCTTACTGACTGGTTTTACTTACAAAACAAGTTATAATTTCCTATTTATGTTTTAAAATCCACTCACTATGCATTTTTTCAGGGGAAGCAACAGCTCCTGCTCCCCACCCCCTCCCTTCTTTTCCTCAAAAGGCACTCTAGGAAAAGGATTATTTATCTCAAGGAATCTCTGTTTTAGACATTGCCTAAACAGTCATGCATTACTTCTACTCTCCAAAGGAAAGATTCGAATTCAAGGGAAACAACTTCATATATAAATAACTAGTATAGTGATTAAGTAGAAATCTTAATTCTTACCACTTGGTGAGGCTTACTCTGTGCCATACATTATTTAGAGCACTCATTTTTCATGCGTAACAATGTTTGAAAGGAGCTATTATTAAAAAAGGAGCTCTGGTGGTGTAGTGGTTAAGGCACTTGGCTGCTAACCAAAAGTTCACTGGTTCAAACCCACCAGCCTCTCCACGAAAGAAAGATGGGGCAGTCTGCTTCCATAAAGATTTACAGCCTTGGAAACCCAATGGGGGTCACTATGAGTTGGAAACGACTCAATGGCAGTGATTTTAGTTTTGTTTTTATTACTTAAAAGCTCTATTTCACAGATAAAGAAAACAAGTTTCTATACAGTCAGGGAAAGGGCATGAATACAAACTATACATACTTTTACTCTTTGTCCTTTCTTTACTAATCTCTGAAAAAAACAAGGTCCAAGGGGCAAAATTAGATACTTTGTTAATTTACCTTTTTCCATATAGGCACCTTGGCTTTTAAAGTATCAATGGCAAAGCTCACAGCTTCCAGGGATGCGGCCCTGTGGGCCGAGGACACAGCAATGATTATGCTGGCTTCTGATACTGGAACCAAGCTGTAACAAGATGAAGAAAACAACTTACCATCAACTCTGAATGTATGTGTCAAAGAATCTGCTAGACACATGAAAATAAACTACAGTAAGTGCACTTGAACCAAAAAACCAAACTGACTGCCGTCGAGTCGGATCCGACTAACAGCGACCCCTCCTTGGGTTTCCAAGGTGGTATCACCACAGAAGTAGATTGCCCAACCTTCCTTCTGAGGAGTGATTGGTGGGTTTAAACCTTCTGATTAGCAGTCAAATCCCTTAGGCACTACGCCACCAGAGCTCCCAGAATTATGGAATTCTGTTTTATGTGAAGATTTCATTGAGTAATTCTTCCCCATTGCTTCAGTAGATGGGATACCAAGGTGGTGGCTAGTGTGTTAGCATCCATCCATTAAACCTGTTTGATGGGCAAGAAGAAGACCTTTCATTAATTCAATAAACATCTGATTGTAACATATAAGGCATGGTGCCAGGTAATGCCTAGAAATACAAAGTTGCAGCACGGTAAGTATAATGGAAAATTTAAAATATTAAAACAGTAATAAGTATGAAGCAATAGGGATGATAACATTAATTATTAATAAAATTAATGATAATTAATTATAGTTGTTAAAAATAAAATAGGTAACAAAATAGACAGATGCAGTCTCTATTACTGGTTTCTTCTTAAAGCCTGGAATTCTACTCTTGTTGGTGGTGTAATAGGTAAACTAACTCAATGACCTTCAAAGGCATTTACATCAAAAAGAATCTCTAGCAGACTATCATATAAACTGGGCCTGGATGACAGAATAATTCTGCAAAGGCCTCAGGACTTTAGCACATATCAGCACAGGCTTTGAGGCCCAGGGCCTGAAGGTCTCACACTGGCACTTTGTTCCTGTTACCGCAGCACAAGCAATAAGAACTGACAATGTTATGAGACAACAAGGTACTGGTGAGGTGGTGCTACTATCCTCCAGAAATAACACTTAAACCTTCCTCTCCCAGGAATATAAGGCACAGTGGTTAAAGCACTCGGCTGCTAACCAAAAGGTCAGTGGTTGGAACTCACCAGCCACTCCATGGGAGAAAGATGTGGGAATCTACTTCCATAATGATGTAGTCTTGGAAACCCTATGGGGGTAGTTCTACACTGTCCTATCGGGTTGCTACGAGTTGGAATTGACTTGATGGCAATGTTTTTTTGTTGTTGTTGTTATGAAAGGTTCCAGAATTGGAATTAGTACAAAGGAGAAAACATCTATTCTTAACTTTTACATTGTTAAAGGAAAACATACCCAAGTCTATGGAACACCGCTACATGTTGGACTGGCCACTTCTGCCGAATGTCGCTACAAATTTTCCTGACTTCATTTTCTGCCATTGGTAGATATGCTTCATATTCTAAGCTAATGACTTTTTTCCCTTCAAAATTATTTCTCGTTGTCCCTAAAAAATAAAATAAAATAACTGAAACAAAGTTTCTTCCCACAACATGAAAAGAACATTCAATAGAATTTTTAAAAAAAGATTATTTCTGAATAGTAAAATAGCAAACTAATTCGTCTAGGTAGTACTTTGGAATAGTAAAATAGCAAACTAATTCATCTAGGTAGTACTTTGGAATTTTCTTTAAAAAAAAAAAAAAATGATTATGAAAACAAAAGATAATTAACACACAGATAATCAAGGATTAAGCAAGTTCACGGGTTTGATAATTCACCGTAGTGGCCACACAGAACTCACAGATTATGGGGTTTATTAGGGAAGCAAGAGACTACAATTCAAGTTCAGAAATGCACTCAGTCTCTCATAGCTAGCTGTCTCACGTAGCAGCCAGCAGTCTCTGTCTCAGCAGCACATGTCTCTCATGTCTCTCAGCAGCACGTGTCTCTTGCATCTCTCAGCAACTGCATGTCTCTCTTTCAGAAAGTGCATGTCTTGCATCTCCCTCTCAGCAGATGTGTTTCTCTCGTGTCTCTCTCTCTCAGCAAATTTGTTTCTCTCAACAAATGAGTGTTTCTCTCAGCAGTTTGTCTCTCAGCTGGCAGTGAGAGATTCCCTCTGCCTCTAGCAGGGCTCCTTTTGAGCCTGGCAGAGCTAAACCAATACCAACATCAGAATTCTATACACCTGAGAGAGAGAGAGAAAGAGAGATAGAACTTCCCAGAAGATTGTTTCCTGCCACTTGCAACAGAAATACCCCAGGTGGTTAAGTTTAACAATCAGGAGCTACTCAGTTGCTCATGGCAAATTCCAACACGGAGTTTACAAAGACTATGGCTAGAAATGCCATATTATGCAATTTTCTACACTTTGGCAAGCTTACTGAAAATGCTCACATGACAAACCATGGCATACTATATTGCTTTTCTAACTAACAGTTAACACTTGAGACTTTGAAGGAAAATATTTAGGTTCCCAGGATTATCATCAAGTACATTTTTTCCCTCAAGATTTGGAAAACACAGGTTCTCTCTCCCAGCAATTACTTTTACTTTACTTCTTTATGCCTTGCAATTGAACGTGTGTTGATTTGAAGATCACTAAAAAAAATAAAAGTAAAAAGGTCTAACCACAACCATGTGTCTTCTTGGTTTACTGCTCAGTATCTCAAATTCCACTAAAGATTAGTATTAAGGAATATTAACAGAGTATGAAAAACACTAGCTAATTACTATGGCATTATGCAGTCCATAAACACTGAAAATTACCACTCACCTACAAATAGGGATATTGCACCACAGAGTGGAGAAGCCACCAATTGTGAAACTTCATCAACTGAAAGCTTCTTGGTGGTGAATTTTATTATATCCTTAGCTTTCTCTTCAATTTCACTCATATCTTTCCTAGAAACAAGATATGAATAAACCTTAACTCTGGTATTAGGGGCAAAACACCTAACTTATAGGCGATTTCCCAATTTATTATTTTTTTCCTACATTGGCTGTGTTTGGCAGCGTCCACTGAACTGAGTCACAAAAATAAGCACCCGTAAAACTTTAGTAAAACTCAATATATTTATAAATGTTCCTACTGAATTAGGCGTGGTATGAAAAGGGATTTATCATTAACATGATCACCTTAAAATGCAATCCATCTCATATATCAATTCATTCCAAATTTTGCAATTGGTACTTATATCTGCCACTATGCTACAGTTTAGATAATGCCACCTTCAACTATAAGCATATCACCCCTAAACACTATTTTACCAAGCACCATACCTACAACTCCCCTTTCCTCATCCAAAGAAAACAGGAGGAATTAACCAAAGCAGAGGTGATGGCTATTTTACAGGAAATGTGTTCATGATACAAGCTGGCACAACCCCAACTGCACAACTGAGGAAATAAGGGAATGAACTGAATGCATATTCACCAGGTGTTGTGCAAAGTCCTTTCCTAGATATTTTCTTAATTTGTGCATCATACATTTAGTACCACTCACTCAAAGCCAGAGCCTAATGCAGGTACTAGATATAGATCTGGGAACAAAATATACTGGCTCCCTGCCCTCATGGTGCTTGTTTTCTAATAGAAGAAACAAAACAATAAAGCACGAGATAATCATAAATAGGAATAACTTGCCAAAATGAACAGTTCTGTGACTGAAGATGAAGGCTAGGGGAGAGGCTACCTGAAATAAGAGGATCAAGGCAGGCCTCACATTATCATTTTTTATGTTTTTATTGTTGTAAATGTATACATAACAAAACATTTGGCATTTCAACAATTAATGTATGTTAATTATATCATCATCAATGCTCAGGGGACACAAGAGTTAAGAACGATGGTACGATTCAGGAACAGGTAATGGTGATGGTTTAACAAAGAGGAAGCATTTAAAGTTGAGACCTAAAAATAAGAAGCCAGCCATGTAAAGCAGAAGTGGAAAGGACCCCAGGTACATGCAGAGGGCTAGCAAGGCAAAGGGTCTGTGACAGGAAAGAACATGGGGTGCTCCGGAAACTACTGGGTGGCCCAAAGCCCAGGGTGCAAAGGAGACAATGAACAGGATGGGCTGAGGCTGGACAAGTAGGCAGCACCTCACAGGCCATGAGAAGAAGGCTGTATATAATTATAAATCCTGTGAGGTTTCACTGTAATGCAAAGGTGAGAGGAGGAGACTTCAGCAAAGGAGACTGACACAAAGGGGCTGAAACTGCAACCAAGGCTTCTTACTAAGGCTAGCACTCTTTCCCCTAGTTCCTTCCAACTACAGCAAAGCAGGATTACTTATACCCCACTGGACTCCATTCACCAGCACTTATCAACACGTGCACATGCCACTTGACTTTCTTCTGCCTCATTTTCTTTCAATAAGACAAAAAACTAAAATAACCAAACCCAGGGCCATCCAGTCAATTCTGACTCATAGTGACCTTATAGGACAGAGTAGAGTTTCCAAGGCTGCAATCCTTATGGAAGCAGACTGCCATATCTTTCTCTTGCTGAGTGGTTGGTGGCTAAAACCGCCCACCCTGCAGTTAGCAGCCCAATGATTAACCACTATGCCATCAGGGCTCTCTAATAACTGTTGTTGTAATGTGCCATTGAGTTGGCCCTAACTCATAGTGACCCCTCCTTGGGTTGCTGAGGCAGTATCACTACGGAAGTAGATTGCCCAACCTTCCTTCCGAGGAGTGGCTGGTAGGTTTGAACTGGAGCCTTCTGGTTAGCAGTCAAGTGCCTTAGGTATAATGCTACCAGAGCTCCTCTCTAATAACTAGGTAATCCATATATGGCCTGGGAGCTTCAAACCATACTGAGTTCCCTCAGTTTCTAATTCTACAAGGACACAGACCTTTAGAAGCCCAACTGGCAGGATTTTTCTGAAACAATGCAATACAAATTCTGTCTAATACATTCCAGTTACACACAGGGTTGCTGAGAAATCCTTTTAATCTTTCTAAAGAAAGGCCCTAACCATGACGCACACATCCCTCTTAATGGCAGCCTGTTGGTTTCTGAATAAATTCCAAAGCTTGAAAAACAGCATTTTAAAAGTACCTAAAATCATGGTGGTGATGAGGTGACCATGGTTTGCAAATGAAATTGAGACACCTATCCAAAAAGAGCATCTTCTAAATTGAACAGGTCATAAAAACAACTTCCCACAAAGAAAAGCTCTGGCCCTGATGGCTTCACTGGAGAATTTTATCAAATATTCAGAGAACAGTTGACACCTATGCTACTCAAGCTATTCCAGAACATAGAAAAAGATGGAATACTCCCAAACTCATTTTATAAAGCAAGCATAACACTAATACTAAAACCAGGGAAAGACACCACTAGAAAGGAAAACTACAGACCAATATCCCTCATGAACATAGATGCAAAAATCTTTAACAAAATCCTGGCCAACAGAATTCAACAACATATCAAAAAATTAATAAACCCTGACCACGTGGGATTCATACCAGGTTTACAAGGGTGGTTCAACATCAGAAAATCAATCAGTGTAATCCACCACATAAACAAAACAGAGGAAAAGAACCATATGATTATATCAGATGATGCAGAAAATTTGATAAAATTTTATAAAATCCAACACCCATTCCTGTTCATTACTCTCAGCAAAATAGGGATAGAAAGGAAATTCCTCAACATAATAAAGGGTATATATGCAAAGTCAATGGTCAACATCATTATTAATGGAGAAAGACTCAAGGCATTCCCCTTACAAACGGGAACCAGACAGGGATGCCCTCTATCACCACTTCTATTTAACATTGTATTAGTAGTCCAGCCCAGGGCAATAAGGCAAGAAAGAGAAATTAAAGGCATACAAATTGGCAAAGAGGAACTAAAACTATCTCTATTTGCGGATGACTTGATCCTGTACATAGAAAACCCAAGGGACTCAATAAAAAAACTACTGGACCTAATAGAGAGGTTCAGCAAAGTGGCAGGATACAAGATTGACATACAAAAATCAGTTGGATTCCTCTACACCAACAAAGAGTCCTCTCTGCTAAAGAAATAAGGGAAACAATATCACTTACTATAGCTACTAAAAAGATAAAATATCTAGGACTAAAACTCACCAGAGACACAAAAGATTTATACAGAGAAAACTATAAAACACTGCTACAAGAGACAACAAGGGCATTACATAAATGGATGAACCTACTTTTTTCATGGATAGGTAGACTAAATATTGTGAAAATGTCAATACTACCATTACCATTAACACCAAACACGAGGCTACACATTTAATGCAATCCCAATCCAGATTTCAACAAATGTTTTTAAGGACATAGAAAAACTAATTACTAATTACTTGACTGCTAACCAGAAGGCTGGCGGTTCAAACCCACCAGCCACTCCTTGGAAGGAAGATGGGGCAATCTACTTCCACAGTGATACTACCTCGGAAACCCAAGGAGGGGTCATTATGAGTCGGGTCTGACTCGACGGCACATAACATCAACAACAATTTCATATGGAAAGGAAAGAGACCTTGGATAAGCAGAGCACTTCTCAAGAAGAAGAACAAAGTGGGAGGTCTCACACTCCCAGATCTTAAGAACTACTATACAGCCACAGTAGTCAAAACAGCATGGTATTGGTATAATGATAGACAGATAAACCAATGGAACAAAATCCTAAGTCCAGATATAGACCCATTCATCTATGTACAACTGATCTTTGACAAAGGTCCAAAACCCATTAAATGGAGAAGAGACAGCCTCTTTAACAAATGATGCTGGCAAAACTGTATATCCAACTGGAGAAAAATGAAACAAGACCCACCTCACACCACACACAAAAACAAACTCAAGCTGGATCAGACTTAAATGTAAAACCCAAAACTATAAAATTCATCAAAGATAAAATAGGGGCAAATCTGGTAGCTCTAATTTATGGCATAAATAGACTATCAAACATAACCCAGAATGTGCAAGAGATAGAAGAGAAGCTAGATGACTGGGACTTTTAAATTAAATTCTTATGCACATCGAAAGACTTTGTCAAAAGGGTAAAAAGAGAACCTATAGATTGGGAGAAAATAATTGCTTATGATATATCTGACAAATAACTTATCCCCAAAATCTATAGAAAACCTCAACAGCTCAACACCAAAAAGACAAATAACCCAATTCACAAATGGGCAAAAGACTTGAACAGCCACTTCACCAAAGAAGATATACAGGCAGCCAACAAACACATGAGAAATTGCTTGCAATCATTAATCATTAGAGAGATGCAAATCAAAACAACAGTGAGATATCATCTCACCCCAGCAATAATAGGAAAGTTCAACAGGTCAGAAGATAACAAATGCTGACGAGGTTGTGGTGAGATTGGAATTCATGCACTGCTGGTGAGACTGTAAAATGGTACAACTGTTGTGGCAAACCGTATGGCGTTTCCTTAAAAAACTGAAATACCATTTCACCCAGAAATTCCATTACTAGGAATATATTCTAAAGAGGTGAGAGATAACACACGAACAGACATATGTACACCTACGTTCATCACAGCACAATTCACTATAGCAAAGAGATGGAAGCAACCTAAATGCCCATCAATGGATGAGTGGATAAACAAATTATGGTACATGCACACATTGGAATACTATGCTACACTGAAGAACAATGAGGGATATGCGAATCATCTCACAACATAGATGAACCTACAGGACATTATGCTGAGTGAAATAAGTCAATTGCAGAAAGAAAAGTACTATATGAGCCCATTACTGTGAAATGACAGAGAAGGGTTTGCCTGGGAAAGGGAACTCATGTTGTAAGTTACCAGGATGGGGAGGGATTAATTTAGGGCTAGTTGGTGCCCACACGCTGACGTGGGTAGGGGGAGGGATATATGGAAAGGATCTGTGACCACCATAATAACATTAGGAAATGGGAGGACACCGAATTGTGCACATGATAGACAACAGATGCTAATACCAACCAATGTGTCCACAATACTGCATTACCATTAACACCAAACACCAGGCTACAGATAAACATAAACACCTGAGATGATCAGACGGGGGTCAGTGAACAGAAGTATACTCTAGACCAAGGATTCGGCTGATTCACAGACACCAGTGATACAAAATACCTGCATTCCTTAAAGAAACAATAGAGGACAGACAGAGTAATCCCTCACAGACAACCAGACACTATGGGAGAGAGATCCAATAGATCTACCGTCTCAGGACAATAGTACTGGGGGACACCAGACTCAACTGGCACAACAAAATACATAAAAGCCTTGCTCCGCATCCTAGACTGGTGAGTAGCAACTGGGGTCTTAAAAATTTTCAAGCAGCCATCTAGATGCAGCTAATGGTCTCCTAGTGTCAGAAGTGAAGAAAACACACACAAAAAAAGGCATTTGGAAGCAGCCAGCCATAGGACACGATGGCCCTGGAGACCAGAAGAACTAGATGGTGCCCGGCTACCAATGCCAACCACTCAGGAAACGATCAAATCTGGAGATCCTGGATAGAGTGGGAGGGAAAACGTGGAACAAAATCGAAAAACTCAATAATGACCAGAATTACTGGTCAGATGAAATCTGGTGAGACTCCCAATACTATGGTCCTGAAATACATTCTGTGCCTAGAATGAAGCACACACCCAGGGGTGGGCTCTCAGCCCAATAGTTAACAAGATGTACATGCAGACCACTCAACCCAGGATGCCACACCCACATACTCTATGGTAATGCATCGACTGAGCAAGGGACCACGGGACACCAGAGGACCAACATTCAAATTGAGGAAATGCAGGACAGACAGGAGTGCATGACTATGAGGGGCATAGGAGAAGAGTTGCAGGGTAGGGAGGGGAGGAGACTGGGTTGACATTGAGCATGGTAAATGGGGAGTGAAACTGAATGTGCACATAGCGTTGAATGTAAAACAAGCTCTTAAAATAAAAATGTAAGTAAACAAATAAAGAAATAAATAGGAGTGTCTTCTATTGTTTCTAGATAGCAGGCCTGAGAATTTCAGGCAGAAGGAAGTAGTCTGAGGAAAAGCCTGAAACAGGAATTACAAGTCTGTCGTACACAGCATTGCTGTGTGTCAGAGCCGACTTGACAGCACCTAACAGCAACAGGCCTGAGAAAGATCTAGTTTCTGAGACCAAAATAAGGCAAAATATTGCTCTTTCAAAGATTTTTTAAGTAGACAATGTTTATAAGCTAATAGAATAACTGAAATCAGGATTCTTAAGAAGACAAAAAAGGTATGATCCCACTTGTATCCTGTTTAGATGATTTAGCACTTTGTTCAACTTCCTCTAAGACACACACACGCACATACTCCCTGCTTCAGGCGTTTGCTCTACTTCCCTTTGCCTGAAACTCTCTCTTGCTGTCCTCCTCTCCCATCTTTCTGTGACCGCAGACTGAGCAGGCTGTTTTGCAATATTTATTCTTCTTTTTGTGGCATGGGCTAGGTCCTCCAGGACAGTGTGAAAAGGAAAAGATGAGTGGAAAAAAAGAAACAAAACAGGATTCCAGCTTCTGTGGCTTGTTGCTTTCTCTAGAGAAACCAGTGTTTTCCCATTAAGTATAGTATTTACTATTGATTTTGGATAAAGCCTATCACATTAAAAGAGCTTTCCTTCATTTCTAACTTACTAAGAGTTATTAACCAAGAATGATTATTAATTTTTACATTATTTATTCTTCAGTTGACAATAAATTAAGCCTTACTCCGTCAGTGTATATGAAAGAGAAATATGCTCTCTCCGCACTATACCAAGGAATGGTTTCATACCTCAGCCTACACAAATCCGGGTTAAGTTGTGGAAAGATGACATGAGTCATGGAGCCACCTGCAGCACAGCTATGATAATAAAGGGGCTCCTTTCTACTTGGGAAATAGTAAGCTTTCTTTTTGCGCATTGCAGTCTTTTGACTTTACAGGGATGCAATTTTTTTTTTTTCCCCTACATTTTTCCTGCGCCCAGGAGAGCTATTATCCAGTATCAGTAAACAAATTTGTGAAAAAGCATAAGCTGTTCCTATTATTAAGTGCCATTAAGGTGATTCCAACTCATGGAGAACCCAAAGGTGCAGAGTAGAACCATTCCATAGGGCTGTGACCTTTCAGAAGCAGTTTACAAAGTCTGTCTTTTGAGGCATTTCCAGGTGAGTTTGAATCCTTAATATTTTGGCTAGTAGTCAAGCACTTCACTGTTTCTACCACTCAGGGATTCCAAAATATCACACAGAGAATCTAATAATTTGAGTTCAACTGTTGGCTCTGTACTTCTTACCTATATGATCATGTGCAAATTTTCTAACTTCCATGAATTTCTATATTCTCATCTGCAAAATGGGTATATTAATACTCCAGAGCCCAGTACTGTGCTTGGTACGTAAGTCTCAATAAATTATGTTAAATGAACACACCGAACTGACTTTAAATTGTTTACAATAGAGTTGATGCAGAGATGGCAGGTAGGTATCCAAGAGTCTATCTGCACCAATAGCAAGTTGTTGAACCAATAGAGATGGTACACCCAGAGTTAACAGCATACAGTTAACAGTAAACCAGTTAAAAGCTATCATCCTTCCGCACAATATTGATTAAGAAAACAAATCTCACATACCCAGTTGGCTCAAAAGTACTACCCGCCACTAATGGGGGGAATGATGGCAATTTCGTCTCCCGATTGAAGTTGGAGGAGTTGGTCTCCAAGCTCGACATATTCCTGACGAACAGCAAATATCACCTGATTTCTGACATCAGCCAATCTGAAAGAAAAGGTGTGATCTGAAGTATCAATACCATGATACAGCTCAAATATCTTCAGATGAAGTTAAAGATATTAAATGGCGTTTTATCTGTGAATATCAACTGCAAATTTACTGTACTAACTTCTCACGTTCTATAGCATAAGGATATGTCTACTGAGGAACACATTAAACTACTGATGATATTTTACTAGATGCTGGATGTCCTGTAAGTAAAAGGTTAGAGGAAAGTAGAATAGAGGCCCTATAACCAAGCTTAAATGATTATCAAGGCATTTTATGAGCAAAACATACAAAATCAATGGGTATTTTCCTTCAGAGCATACATTGAGAAGGATCTTTCAAATAGCCCAGCACTTTCAGATTAAACACCCACACAGACTTAAGTAACACCATTAATATTCTTGGAACACCTCCAAAAACTCACTTTTATGCTTTGTTCCAAAAAGATCTTCAGGTAGGAATGATAGCATTAAAATCAGAGATTTTCAAGAATCAGAAAAACTCAAATATTGCAAAAACTCAAATTCAGCTGCACCTATAGCTTATCTTTCATTATTTTTAAATGCAGAAATTTCTATTTTGAGGTCTTTGAAGAGGAAGCGAGGAAAAAAATTTAAAGAACACATTTTTAACAGATTTTGTAATAATTTCATTTAATATTATATACACATAGACTATACCTTTTCAGAATTTTGTAAATTATGTAAGTAGACATAATCATGACCTCTGGGTATAAGCTAGCTCACTGTGCATTTTTAGTAATATAATTTTAACCTTCTTTAATGAATTGCACATTTCTATATACTAGAATCTAAGTTTTTACTTGTAGCTAAAAAAAATGCAACTAGTAACCCTTTTTGCCATTAGGTATGGCAATCAAAATCAAAATCAACCTTTTTTTTTTCCTTTGATAATTTACATATTTAAAAAAATATATTAGAAAGTGTTAATAGTACGTATTCTGAAAAGTTTTACTACCCAGGATGTCGACTTTCTATCTCCTTCCACAGCTGCAAGGCTTTTATTTGTTGTGGCACAGAAATGGTCTCTGAACAAACACCTGTTATTTCAGCACTTTTTGCAAAATACAGCACTTCCACCTGAAAGGAGAAAAAGGGAAAATGCTTTTACAGGAACAACTCATCATTCTTTTCTGATGCCTAAACTAAGACATTTTCTTGTTTTCCAAATCTATATTTATATCAAAAATAAATTTTATGTGTGTTAAAGAAAATTAAACAGCCCATTACAAATTTCAGGCTACTGGGGTCTTAAGAGCTTCCAAGTGGCCATCTAAGATGCAACTATTGGTCTCCTCTCATCTGAATCAAAGAAGAGTGAAGAAAATCAATTAGTTCAAGGATAAGATGGGCCACAAGGACCTCAGGCTTCATGACCCAGAGACCAGAGGAACTAGAGGGTACCCAGCTACCAATCCCAACCACTGGGAAAGGGATTGAAACCAGAGATCCTAGATAGAGTGAGAGGAAAAATGTGGAACAAAATTCAAAAACACAAAAATGATCAGAATTACTGGTCAGACAGAAACTGGTAGAACCCCCCAGACTATGGCCCTCTGTTACCCTTCAGGCCTAGAAATGGACCCACTCCCATGGATTGGCTTTCAGCCCAACAACAGAGAGACCTACATGCAGAACACCTGCCCCAGGGCGATGCCACCACCTAGGGAGATGCTTCCCTTAGAGCAACCAGCCATGAGATGCCAGAGGGGCAGCATTCACACAGAGGGAAAGGTGGACAGACAGGAGTGCATAGGTAAGAAGGGCATAGGGAGGGGGTGGTCACAGGCATGGAGGAGCGGAGGGTTTTTTATGGCTGGGGATGGTGATCGGGCCATGAAATCAAATGTGCATCGACTGTTGAATGTAAAGCAAATTTGCTCTGTAAGTTTGCACCCAAAGCACAATAAAATAAATTTTAAAAATAATAAAAGAAATTCAGGGTATTTGTTACTGCATGTGGTTGAGTAAATTCCGACTCAGGGACCCTACAGGGCAGAGTGCAACTGCCCTCGAGGGTTTCCAAGGCTGTAAATCTTTACCGAAGCAGATTGCTACATTTTTCTCCCTTGGAACAGATGCTGTGTTGAACCCAACTTTTCCAGCAGCTGGGTTGAACCCAATTTTTCGGTTAGCAGTCGAGCGGTTAACCACCGCGCCACTAGGGCTCCCTCATAAAATTATAGCACCTTTTATAAGCACTTCAGACCTGAAGACTTTCAACAGAGAGCAAAAGTTTAAGTGGAGATAAACGACAAATAAAACATAAGACCAAGGAAGTGAAAGATTAGTCTTCTATGGTTGTCAAATGGCCTTTGATTCCTGTCTACATTACATTGGATCCTGATACCGTGGACTGAGTTATGCAACATATGAAATCTGACATTTATAAAAGCAGTTGGGTTTGAAATACAGGATAACCTAGTATTTCCTGGACCAAATCTATGCAATTAGCCCGGAATCTAAGAGATCTGACCAAGTAAAATATCCACTCAGTGAAAAGTATTATCTAAGAAATAATCAGAAGTTTGCAAATGCATACATGAATATGTTTCATAAGGATTCATACGACTACTTAGCGAAGTGCATTTCTTTTTAATTAAAAACGTTATCTTCATCAAAAGGAATAAGCGAAAAAACGGGGCCACAAGGACGAGGGCTCCTTTAGAAACCAGCCTGTTCGACGCTGTGACCTGCACACCATGACTTCACGAAGTCGACCTAACCTTCTCTGGGGCGGCCAGAGCAAAGTTCCCGAAGCCGGGAACCACCACAACGAAGGGGATCGCGGCCCGGGACAGGCATGGGGACGAAACACAGATGAATCAGCGGCTGGGTTTGTGGATTCAAGGAACAGACAAGTCTGAATGTACTCCGCGCCCAAGTGCGCCCAAAAAGTCCCCAGCTTTACCTGGCACCGCGGAACCATACCGCTGGGAAGCCCGAGCCCGGGATCCCGGAGGTGGGGCGGCGTAGAGGGCCCGACCCAGCGCGCAAGCGCACCTTCCGCTCATTCCGCCCGCACAAAGCATGCGCGGAACTAGCTCCGCCCCGCTGGTTTCCCGGTTGCGTCGTTGAGTCCGGGTGTTCCGGAAAAGCTTGTTTTTCCGCTACCAGGTGGGGCACTGTGGTGACAGTGAGTTACAATTGTCACTGAATGGAGAAAGGCACTCCGCGGAAGGAAGGTTGGGCAGTCTACTTCCGTAGTGATACTGCCTTGACAACCCACGGAGGGGTCGCTATGAGTCCGGCCGACTCGAAGGCACATAACCACCACAACATGCATGACTTCTACCCGGCAGGGAGGTTGTGGTGTGGAGAACAGACACCAGACTCACCTGGTCACCTGTATTATGAAGGCTCAGCTAGTAAGCCAGGACTCCCAACGGAAGTGCCACTATGGTTAAGCCGGGGCACATAACAACAACAACAACATAGCCCTTAAAGATAATGCAGCCTTAGAAAACCCTATGTATGGGGCAGTTCTACTCTGTCCTATGGGGCTTCTATGAGTCGGAATCAGCTGCACTAGCACCTACAAACATCCAGAGGGAGGGTTCGGCTAGTCCACGCTCACCTTTAGGCGTCCCTTTGACTCGTCATGTACCCCACCATCTCGTATAATAAACCCCAGCACCCACTGCCGTGGAGTCCATTCCGACTCCAGCGTTCAGCTGTATCAGATTTACTTTCCTCTTTAGTAATGTCTAATGATTTCTCCACATACTGTTTATTCATCCGACATTTCTAACTTCTTACCAACAGAAAGTCTGTGATTTAGTTAACTTGCAAACATAGTTGTGAATATAGGTGAGATGTTTCTCCCCTTGGAGCTGACAGTGACTGGGAATACATCAGTAAACTATAAAAATAAGGTCTTATGGAGCTTACATTCTTCTTAGGAAGTCAGACTGTAAGAAAACAAAAAGTACAGTTTGTGATGAGTTCTATGAAGAAAATGAGTAGGGGAGGGGCCAGGTGCACTTTCGTTGTTGTTGTTGTTGTTATGTGCCATCGAGTGGGCCCCAACTCATAGCGACCCCTCCTTGGGTTTCCGAAGCAGGATCACTACGGAAGTAGATTGCCCAACCTTCCTTCCGAGGAGTGGCTGGTGGGTTTGAACCGCCAGCTTTCTGAACCCAAGGGAATGAACGCCTTAATTTAACTGAGAACTGAGAGGCTAGCCTTGTACAGCGCTGAGGAAGAGAGTTCTGGGCAGGGACAACCTGGCTCGGGCAGGAGAGGGCTCAGTATGTTCAAAGAATACAAGAGGCCAGGGTAGCTGGAGAAACAAGGGAGAGCGAAGAGATGAATTTGTAGATATTGGGAGTGGAGGTGGGAAGGGAAGATCATACAGATCCTTGGAGGTCATGAAATTCTGTTTGGATTTTCTACTTTCACACACACACATACACACACTCATGCACACAATTGTGAAGCTGTGATTTTGCATCTGTTGGGGAACATTTGAGGAGCTTGCACAGAGGCAGGCCTGAGAGGAAGTACAGCAATCCAACCCAAGCCTCATCTGTGGATGCAATCATTCCCACTTTATTTTTTCTTTTATGAACACTGAAACAATGAGCATACTACAATATAACTTTTTGGCCATATATTTGAATGCTTTCCTAGAACAGAAACCTAGAAATGGAATTGATGAATTGAAAGGTCACTACATTTTAAATTGTGATGCCTACTGTCAAATGAGGATCTCTGGTGGCATAGTGCCTAAGGCATTTGACTGTTAACCAAAAGGCTGGTGGTTCAAATCCCCAGCTACTCCTTGGAAGGAAGACTGAGCAACTGTCAAATGCTCTCCAAGATGCTGTTGATGTTGTTGTGTTGTTGTTATGTGCTGTCGAGTCGAACCTGACCGATAGCGACTCCTCTTTGGGTTTCCAAGGAGGTATCACTACAGAAGTAGATTGCC